AGTAAACTTTAGAATGAGCTGCACCTAAATTGACTGAAGGTCATGGCATGTGTCCAGGTTATCTGAGGAACTGTGCCACCTCAGTGGGATTGACCCGTCCCACCAATGCCAATAAAAGGACCTGCAATGGACCTCTTTGGTCAAGTAATTCTGATTGGCAGGGTCCAGAAGAGCCTTATGTGCCATGACTCCTACCTTCTGGAACACACTCACCCTTTTGACCTTCCAAAAAGTTCTGAAGACCTGGCCTGGGGCCCTAGTGGGGGTGGGTATTCTTCCCTGCGGGCATTTTGCCCCCTTGGTTCCCACCTTTGACAATTTTGAATCAAATTTAATGTTACTATTTATTGTTTTGAAGTTTTAATATATTATATTAGTGTTTGATTGTAAGATGCCTAGAGTCACTTTTAGGTGAGATGGAATGAATGAATGAATGAATGAATGAATGAATGAAGGAAGGAAGGAAGGAAGGAAGGAAGGAAGGAAATTCTATATTACTATCAGAAAATGGTATCATGCTTCAACCTCTTCTCCTAATCCTGTACACAATATTATTACTCTTGACTTAATATCTATGTATTGACATGATTGAATGTATTTTCAAAAACTGTTAAGAAATAACAGCATGAACATCTTAGCTAACACATAGATGTTTTTAGGGGCCATGACCAGAATTATATCCCACCAGAATAAAAATTAAGACTGGCGGAAAAATTCTAAGCTCACATTGTCTTCATCTGAGCAAACAAAACATTTTCATTTCTTTCTTTTCAAAAATATGATCAAAGCAATATCCTGGGCTCCAAATATACTGAGAGGAAATTGCCCATTGCAAAACTATAAGTTTCAACAATTTTAGTATGAGACATTCAAGTCACTTTGGGTCACTGGAGTTTACAATCCACTTTTCAATCCCTCCTGCAGTTTTGAAAGCCTCAATCCAAAATTAAATGCATAACAAATAATCTGAGGTTAGCTAGCAATAGATCTACGTGTCGTATAAAACAGCAATCTATGATATAATTCTGAAAATAGTATCATGCTAGTTCTGAAGGAGTATAAATTTAAATATATTCTTCCTACTACAACATAGATTTTAAAAGAAAAAAAACATATGAAGCCAATACAGCAACACAATCAATCATTCTTTGTACCATATATAATATAGGTTATTAAGACATTGTCAAAACCCTATGTCTTTTTATATCTTTATCATTATATTTATAAATCAGAGAAGACTGTGTTATTGCCATTTCCAGCTATATTTATGTAACACTGAGTTATTCTACTTCCATTTATTTCTGACTCCAGTGCATTGGTACTGCTCGCAAAGAAAAGAGTGTACATTATGGATGAGATTTTAAAAAAGAAAAGAAAAATGAGCAGTGCTTTCTTGTCGCAGGTGTGAAGGATGCATGACAGGGACCGGCTGTACTCATATCAGATGCATTTTACCAGAAAGCAAGGAAAAAGACAGGAGGGCACTAAAACCAAGTGATTCAGAAGTCATTTGCAAAACATCAGAGGATTAAATCCTGGATATCCATCACTGCATAATGAAGAATTCAAAGTCTTTTATTTTGTTCTGGCAAGCTCTGATATTTTTTTAATGCAGATAGTATCCAAGTGGTATTATAAAAAAAGGGGCTAAATTCCAAAGTTTAAGCTACCTCTTTATGACCCTTAAAACGAATATTTTCCCTTTCCCCCTAAAAAGGAAAGACAAGCAGGCAGGTAGGCAGAGATTTATCCACAAGTGAGAGGTAGGTTTGCCTTTCCAAAATCTGATTCTTGAAAGCAACACTGCAGCACCCAGTATTTTGGCTTTTCACATTTATGCTGTGTATGCTATAATCCTTGGGAATTACGGAGTCTCCTTTCTATGATATTTCTATACCATGATGAGACTTACAGTTCAAAATTCTACTAAGGAATTAATAAAAGTACAAAAATAATTTTTCACATTGTATTGGAGCTAGTCAGGTAGAAGTCTTGTTTAAGCTTGTTTTAAACCCTATAAGCATGAGGTTGGATTCAACAGCAGAACGGATCCTTCCAACTCTATAATTCTACAATTTCTAATCCTTCTATATTTCAATTGCTTCTTGTATTGTATACAGAACAAATCTGTATAGAAAAGAAAGACTGGAAAAATGAAGCATAACGTTTGATTGATAATGTTAGAATCACTTCCAGAGAAGAAATGGTGAATGGATGTCCTTGAACAGGGGAAACAACATTATGGCTGAATTAGCATCTGGATGCTGGATCCTAGTTACTGAGATGTCTCTGGAGAAGGAGAGATTATGAGATTTTCCATATGTATTCTCAACATCTACAACTCATACATAGATGGTAGAAACCAATGTTTCTGGAGTTGCTTAGGTGTGATGCAACTGAAAGCCAAGGGATTTCAGGAGGCTCACAAGCATAAGGTAGGTCCAAGGACTTTATGTTTGTTCAATCCTCATCTCTTAATTACTCCCCTCGAGCGCCAGTTTTTAATATATTGAGAACTCTTGAAATTATGATATTCACTGGGTGAATCTCCCTCAATCTGTACTGAAAAGATTTATAAGTACCAAGTTAAAGATTCGGAAAAAAAAAACTTTTTGGAGTAAAGAGCAAAAGATTAGAGTATTGGTTTGGAAACATTTAAATGAACTAAGGGTCCAGATAGATGTGAAATGAGACTTTAAAATTAATTCTATGAATCCTTTCTGTGGAAAACTGATGTTTTTAAATTCTGAAAATAGAAGCATAACAAGATAAGACATGAATGTTTAGACACTAGAGGGATTCAGAAGACACTAAAGATTGCATTTAAAGGAGAAACAAATTACTTGCCAATAGTGGAGCAAAATATTTCAACCCCAAATGCATTTAATGATATTTGGGAACAATGGACTCAGAAATTAATTTTAAAGATATCTGCTACCATTGATAAAAGGAATATAAATGATGTGATGTAATAGGAGTTCTATTAGATATGTCTTAAACAGATTTAAATGTAGATTTGGATATACTAGATGTACAAAAGAGCCCTAATAAAAATTTGAAGGAATTTGTGACAAGAGACAAAAAAAAAAGAAAAGAAATCAAGTTTTAAGAAAGAGATCCATTAAACTTCTCAATTTTTTTTAGAAGAGACAAAGAAAATAAATAGGAAATCAAGTTCTAGAACATTATTTGATGGGACTAAAATTAAAATTACAGAGTATATATACAAAATACATTTATATGTATATATGAATATGTGTATATATGTATATGTATGTATGTATGTATGTATGTATATATATATATATGTGTGTGTGTGTGTGTGTGTGTGTGTGTTTGTGTGTATGTGTGTATGTATACCTAAAATAAAGATAAATGCAACATTGGTTTATTTAATCAAGGTAAAATATATATCTTCTTATCTGTGACTACCATTATTGAATTTTTACTGATTAGGACTGAATGACAATGTTTTAAGGTCTTGTTTCTAGAAGAGATGAGATACAGGAAAAATAGTTTATTTTATATTTTAATTCTATTTGACTAATGTGTTTTTTGTTGGTAATCTTTAATGAATTTTGATTAACTATGATTTAATTATGAGGTTTGGGGAATTTTTTAAAATAAATAAAGGATGAGATGTAGAAAACAATATCATGAAATAGGTTCTGAGATTGAATTTAAAATAGTTGTGTTGTTATTTCTCGTATCCCTTAATGGACTTTTGCTGATAATGATACAATTACAAGGTTTTAAGAGTTGTTTATAAACAAAGAGATGAGATACAGGATGAAGGGATGTCTTATTTTTCAAGAGAAGATGATGAGTTGTCAAAACAAGCTTTTATACCTGGTGTGACAAGAGGAAAGTTATTTATATATTTTTTCTTTTCCCCTGAACTTTATACCCTTTGTTCTTATTTTTTAAAGTTTCTATTAGTTTTCATTGATATATTTGTACTCTTTAATAAAATTATTTTTTAAAAAGATAGCATTAGGAACCATCTACAGAAGAACTTAAGTTTTGTTGATTGTAGTTGTATTACTCAAAAGCACAGTTTAAGATCAACCAGCTTCTATTTCCCAAATACAGTTATAATTATTACTTTTCCTGCATTTTTGGTATAGTTAAATGCAAAGTAGAAACTTTGACTAACAGCAAAATAGCTCGGAGAAGCCACAAAACAATTATGTCATCTCATATTGCATAGATAGCATTGCATTGTTAATCCCTTCCCACCTTATACAATTCAGACAAGAACTGAAGCATATAAGGAAATAGAAAATACAACACAAAATATGTTGTAATGATATGTCTATATACTCTCTAACAATGAGAAAACACACGACAATTTTAGAAGATGGGAACAACGTGAAAGCAATCCTACAAAGAGTTTAGTGATATGAACAGGTGATACAAGGCAATATTCAGCAAATGTAAATTGCTAGTTCTTCGATGACAATTTATGACCATGTGTAAGCATGAACATGCAACATATTTCTGGGGCTCTCCGACCCTTCATTTTGTAATAGCCAACACAATCCTTTTTTAAAATAAATATTCTGGAACATAACTGCCAATAGTTGTATAAGCACATGCAAGATGACAATGGACAGCGCACGCTCATTCAAGCATAAACATAAACAGGCCAGTAGCAATAGATACCTTGCTCCTTAGGAACATAATTTATTCTTTAGGTCTAAGTATTACAGGTCTCTGTCCTTGTTATAAGATTTCTTGGAAAATGAATTTGTTTCATTTTTAAAAACCCTATAAATAGTTTAAAAGCAAGCAGAGAATAATCTTAAGATTCTGGTTAAAAGTGATATATTTTGATAATTGTATAATAAGGTCAGAGTGCTTGACATTGATGAAAGAATGGATATGTTTCTTCATGCATGCCTTCATCCTTCCATCTGAAGAAGCAGCACAGAAAAGCAGTAAGCTCGGAATGAGATGCATCCTCAAATGCAGGACATGGAGACTGAGATTCATCTCACCTGGACTTGTGTGAAAGGTTTCACTTGAGAAGACAGACTCATTGCCTTTGAGAAAAACCCGTACTATATACTTCTCACCAGGAATCAGATCACTCAGCTCCAGAAAACCTTTAGCAGGGGAAGATTTCACTGATTTGTTACCTGGGAAATAGAAATCTCATATCAAAGGTAGCTAAAAAGAAAAGAAGAGATTATTGTGTGGTCAAGCATCAAGTTGGGCTATGATGATATTTCCTGGCTGGATAACGTATTTAAGTAAGATGAACATCCAGAGTTTGAGACCTCACCCAATTCAAAGTTTCAGAGTTTGTTTACAAGAGTTTTATAAACCAGCTTACACCACTGGCAGAATCAATTTTCTAGACACCATTTCACTAATCTAAGTACCAGCTTCAGCATCAATCAGATACAATTAGATGAAAGATTCTTATACAAATGGTTCTGTGATTGCAACCAAATCCAGAAAATTATTTTGTTTCAAACTAAAATGAAACAAAACCAAAACCTCTATCTGTAAAAAGGACCCTATTTTCACAGATTCTGAGAAATTCTAATTTGGATAGGAAGGAATTGCCACAATTGTCTGGCACTTCCAAGTATTAAATAATATTCACAAACCTTTCTCTGAAAATACTTTCATAGCGGCTTGATGTGTTGTTTTTAAATTTATCTACAGTTTTGGAAAGGTTAAGGGGAAACATAATATATCTAGCCTTATTAAAACCATATAGAGGAATTAGAAAATGAAATCCATGACCAAATAGTCCGACATGGATCTTTAAGTACTTAAATCCATGTAAAACATGGGCTTATAAAGACTGGATTAGATATCTGTATAAATGTAAACCATCATTATGACTGCAGTTCTTAAAGTGTTCCTGAGCAGCAAAGCTCCATAAATATATTTATAACTGCAGTACAAATGAAAAAGTATTCCAGAGAAAGGAAGACAGCCTTTCCTTTGGCCCTGTAGTAATCATCTGAATGGTATGCACAGATATATTTCAAACTGTGCACAAATGTCTTCAACATTATATCAAATATTTTATAGTCAGTCATATTAGCTGCAGTTATTAGGGTTATATAGTCAATGAATTCTATGGAGAACTTTTTTTGAACCACCACTACAATGTGGTGAGCCTAAAGTCATCAACAAATACAGAACTGTAAAAATTGAAATAAAAGTCTAAGAGAAAACAAGACCTACAGCGCATTAAGTACTCTGCAACATTCCCATGACCCCGGTGCTTACTGTTGCTATACTCAACCACAAATTCAGTGTCAGCATCAAATGCGTGGTTCCAGGTGATATTTGCCCAGTTATTGTTAGATGAAATTTTTACATTCCAGATGGGCGGCAGCTTTCCAACATCAGCTGGTGAACAGGTTAGAACAGAAGTTAGTAAACTAGATAATGTAGAAACAATGTGTTTCAACTTAAGTGAAGGTTCTGGATTCATTAGCAATTTCTCACATAGGTAACGTGGAAAAAAAATTGTCCATCACTTCTTTGACTCTTAGTCTATTGCCTACAGACTAGTAGTTTGGAAATGGTGTTTCATTAAAGTAACAAAGTCACATCATGAAAGAACATGCTTTGATCTGTATACATCATTACTAGTACAGAACACCAATAATAGGTCCCCTCTTCCTTACAGTGTAATGCAGATAATATTATTCACCCCTGCTACCAGGGATCTTTCTAATTTTCATAGGAGTTTGCTTTGTGCAATTCCATTTTCAATTTCAGTCTTATATCTTTGCCTCCAGATTTGCCTCTTTTTTTTGTCTGCCCTAAGAACGCAATAAAACCAAATACTGCGCATGTCCCAATGACCCATATTTTAGGAATCCACTGTTTTTTGATTTACAGTAAGCTAAATTTGCAAGCTATTTTTGCTACCTTCTGCTGGCTCCTACAGCTACTCCAAAATAGGACAGATGTGCTTATGTAATTAAGTTCTCAAGCTGAGGGTATTTCTGGGGCATCTTTTTTCAGAAAGAAAAGTCCTATGGCTGGGTTTTGGGGAGTGAGAGACACTTCCCATTTTTTGAGAAGCACAGTACAGAACTATGTGAGAAACTACTGTGCAAATAAGCCTTAATTTACTTAACTACGGTACTTAGGAAGGATCTCAAACAATCTAGCGATTTAAGACTCATCACAAGAGACTGAGACTCTTAGTGCAGTTTTATTATTTTAAAAGCATTTTTGTACTTGGAAACCTAGATGAAACTTTTGACAGTGAAGCACTAACATCTAATGAAAGCTAACTTGTACTCTGAATGCTAGAATTCTTTTCAAATAAATGGACTGCTGATGCTGAACACTTTAATGGCTTGGCAGTAGCAGTTCCTGATAGTGTTTTTAAGTAGATTTATGAAACACAAATATATTCTGCTTCAACACTGCATCAAACCAAAGAAAAGTTCAGTGCATATTAAAATATACCAGCTCTCTGATTTAATGTCTATCTAGAGAGAAAACTTTTTGGTTAGTATTCTGCACAGGATGCATTCATAATCCTTTGTTCTTTGTTGATTTTATGATAAGTTTAGCTGGCTTGGCAATTTTAGCTCAGAAACACAGGCTGTTGCTTAAGGCTGCTTTTCTATCAGTATTTACCTGGATGATGTTAATATAAATATGAATTCAATTTGAATTACTTCTGGATACATATGCATATGATTATAAGCTCTTTGTATAAAGTGAATTATTACAATCTCTCTTTTTAATAGCAGCACATTTTTAAACAGTAAATGCAGCCACAATGTAATGTGACTTAGAGCATTTTCCTGTCAACTATATTTTTTAATCTTCATGATATATTTCTGTTCACAACAGAATTTTATTTTGAAATGTCTATATACCGTTACCTTGTTCAAGTTATTACCACCACATGGCCATTCATATAATATATAGTTTTGAGCATCAGCTAAGAACTCTTTATATTGATGAAAACCAGGCATTATGTTAAGTAAACATGGCTTAGAATACATGTGAGTATTCCCATTTTTTTTCTGATGAGACTCCAATCATTACAAGCAGAATTTAATCAGGATTATTAAAGTTTGCTTTAACTTTCATCAGGATTGTAACATCATTGCTGGTCATGCACTGGCCAATTCTGAGTCAAATAATACCACTGGACCGAGACTGAGAACATTTTAATCAAGAATCCCAGGTATTTTTTTTAAAGCAAAGATTATTTGGACATGATTAATTGTCCATGTCAGGAATTTGTACACAGGCAGCATTCTTTGTTTAGAGCAATTCAATTACATTGTTATCTGCTTTGAAATTAATTCTGCATTGAATTATATTTTCCCTCCTTAAGAGCATGTCTGAATGGGAAAAATCTATGTACAAGAATATTCTTGCATAAAATGGGAATGTCTTGTGATTAAACTCAGAGGTTGCAGTTTTTTTCCCCAGCTAAACTATTTTAATCTTTATTCTCAAACCAAGGGAATGTTAGGAAAAAATATGTAAAAAGTCCTGAGCCTGTCTTTGCCCGTCCAGTTATCAATTTGGCTATCAATTAGAATGGGAAAGCAAAACAAATCTGGTCCAAGTTTGCTATGGCAGAATAAATTGACAATAGAAAAGGTGCATTAAAATGGGCCAGGTTTGGCCAGGGGCTGTGGTGAAAAAAATCCTTCAATAAATTCTTATGAGAAAGACAAGTGGCCAACAGCTTGGAATGCTACTGACTGCTTTATACTTAAGCCCATCTCTTCCATAGGGAGATCCAAGGCAGAGCTGCTGTTAATGAGTTCGAAAAACTTTAGAATGGAAGACTTTCTGTTACTTTGCTCAGTAAAGATACTGTGTTTTAAATTGGCATTACAGTCGATTCTGGTTCTATTTCAATTTGATATTGATTCTGTGATAAATGTTTTGATTCTCCAATGTTAACAGATCAGAGCTAAAATCTCCAAGCTGTATATCTAAACTTAGAAGATTTTGGAGTCCATCTTTTTTATAGGGGATCCCTATGCTTTCTAGTATGGACACTCTTTTGGGAAGTCCTGAAGATGTAATTCTGCCCATGGGCCTGGGGAACCCAGAGCGGGATGGAGCCCATTAAATGGCTGGAATGAGTATGTGTTATCGTCCAGGGTGGCAGGATAGGGGTTATTATTTTATTATTTTTATCTCCTGTAAGCCGCCTTGAGTTGCCATGAGTAGGTGGCGTTATAATTTTTTTTAAATAAATAAATAAATGCCACTTCGTAAATGAGGAACAGTAAAACAGTAATATAGTTGCACAGAGATCCACTCCAAACCATCCTGACTGAAGTTGTTTAATTATCAACTGTTCCTTGAAGAAATGTCAATAATTGGCATACTTCAGTCCGACATGATCTTTGATATGCTATATTGCGAATAAAAAAATGTCATTTTGGTATTCTACCCATTGTAACTATGCCAGAGGTGGGTTCCTACCAGTTCGGCCGAGTAGGTAGTAACTTGGCCTGCTATGCCCCGGGACTGGTTCTTTTGGCAGAGATGGATTTTTTTTACTACTGTGCATGCGCAAAATGTGCACATGCCTGAAGCACATCCCCGAATGAACCGGCAGTAGCAGAAGCCAGAACCCACCCCTGAACTATGCATAATCTATTAGAATGCATATGAACAGAATCTGGGTTTGTGTGATGGCTATAAAGGACATCTTTGAAAAGGAGAATCCAGATTGTCTATGGCAACTAAGAAGTAATGCTGGAGGCACAAAGTTTTATAGAAATAGGTCCAATACTTTTCTGAATAGTCTTTTTAGCATTTGGGATCATTGTGAATCTTTAAAAATAATCCAATGATTAATATGCAGCCGGAAAAAAAATGACTATGCTTAGAGGAAAATCCTGGTTCTGCATGATTTAGAAATCATCTACGCTGGTGTTATTAGGATTAAAGTACATGAAAGACCCTGAAAGGGCTTAGATAGGCAACATAAACGGAAGAGGCAAACACAGAAGCTGAGCCCGGTACTTGATACCTATTGTACTAGCAACAAGTGTGGTGATGATTGCTGGCTCTGTAGTGGTTGCAGCTTCTGTGGTGGTGGTTACAGCTTCTGTGGTGGTAGTGGTTATAACTTCTGTGGTGGTGGTTACAACTTCGGTAATGGTGGTTGGGACAGTAGTTTCTGAAATGGTGGTTGCAGCCACAGTTGGAACATCTGTAGTTTGGTGAATGGTTGGAGACATTAAAACTAGGAGAGGGAAGTACAAAAAACTGCTTTTAAAAGATACTATGATTTCAATTCTCTGGCTTTGCCAATTATTTGTTGAAGCTAAACATGCAGGCATGTGGAGAAAAAATGGACCAAGACACTCGTTCACACATACACCAAATGTAAACAGCATATAATTCTTCTAACTAAAGAATTCTATTTTTCTAAGGAGAAATAAAGCTTGAATTTCATTCTTTCTTTGGCGGTCTTATAGGAAGATTTCTCCATCGCAGAAAGACAGGATGGTCAGTTATGGGAGTGTCTCAGATGAAGGGGCATGCAGAAAATATTGAAGACAAGCAGAGGGCAAACATGCAAACCCCAAACAGATAGTTCTTATAACCAAACTATTCGATTTAAATTTTCTGTTCATTGATTCAACAGATTGCTCTCTTTGTGGCCTTGAGAGCTTAACAGTATTCCAGCCTCTGAAGGCAATTAATATAGGCAAATCTGGAATGGAAAGAAAGGAATCACAAGGACTGTGGAAGGATAAAGAGAACGTATTTGTCTTGTCTTAATAAAGCAATATGAGTAAAGTCAATAACAGTTTTATTAGCAAACTGAAATAGCAAGAAGCTCTAAGGAAACAAAACAATGCAGACATTTTCGGTGATGAGAAATTCTAACTTTGTCTTATCATTTTAAGGAAATGAAGGTATATGTTCAAATAAGAAAAGTAATATTGAATCTTTAAGTTTTCCGCTAAAATAAAAAAAAAATTCCATTTTGCAATAAAACAGCCAGTTACTGCAAATCCTGAAGTAGTTCTCTTGGAAACATATTTACCTTTTTGCATATTAATTAGGATTATTATTTTAAAAATATGCTAGGGATGTTATTTGGATTGTTTTAAGCCTAACAAATATTTTGATATTAGTAATGAAACACGAAAGAATCTATACTATCATAATGGCAAAACATTTTTTTAAAATACCATCTTATGTGTGGAAAGAGAAGTCATCTCTCTGTGTGATTAATGCATTACCCCATGAGACAAAATGCATTAACAGAAATGATGTAAAATAGATTTGCCTAAAATTGCATATGTTAATGCATATGTATAAATGTAACATTTAAATAATTACCCTATTTGTACAGAAATAGACTAGGCATAATGGATGAGAGAGCACACTCTGCGATTGAGGTGCTGAAAGTTGGTAAGCAATTCTAGATCCTTACTTTCCCTTCTCACAAGACACTTATTTCCCCTTCTTCTATTTCTCTCTGAAATTTAGATAGCTCTGTAATTAAGGGGTGTAATTAAAGAACAACTCTCTGATTGCCAATCAAAGAAAGGATTACATAAATAAACCCATGCTTAACTTGTTCTGAACTCTGAGAATCTTATTCTTTATAATCTGCTTATAAACAAAGAGTTAGTTAGATCTTGTTGCTAACTGCTAAAAGCTGAATGTGTAGCCACCTCAGAGGCTTCTGGAAAAGATATTCTTTTAAAATTCTGCTGCAGAAAGATCTGAAAAGCATAATCTTCAAGTGAACACTATGAAGTAGAAAATTAAATGCATGAGTTCATTTACCTCCTATCTGGTGTTGATAAGAATGAGCTTGTCAAAATGGCAGAACACAAAAGAAAGAGGAAAGATAATTCTGTCTATCAGTGCCATGGATTTCTGATAAGATTCAACATAGTCTATTATTCAGCCAGTATTTATTATGAGTAATAAAGCAAAAAAACAATCAAATTTAGTTCCCTTAAACTATGCCATGGGAAACTCATTCTTCTCTCTATTGAGGGAATAAAGAAAGAACAGCTTATAAAAATGATTACTCCAATATAGTTCCCCCAAATAACATACCCAAGTTTTGCAATACTGTTAATAGAGGCACCAGTTAAGAATCTGTTTTTCTACTCATCCCCAAAGTACTTTTAGAGGCTAACATATATTGTTGCAGTCAAAGAAGGGGTAGGACATACAATAGAGGCAGGTGAAAATAGTGAGCAAATTTGGAGAAATTGCCTTCTGTTTACAGTTGTGCTTATGAAGTTTTAGTAAACTGGGTTGCAATTAGTACCTATGCTTTATTCTTATACATGTGGAACATTAGTTTATGCTTCAAGGACTAAGAAGTTGTGAAGAAATGAAAAAAATGTCACGATTCTGCTACATCTTTTTCAAAACCTCTGGGTTTTGCCATTTACTTTGCAGGAAGCACTTTGTACTAAATGGCCCATTGGTAGGATAAATCTTAGTCTGTTAAAGTGGTAGAAATTGGCCCTAAGCAGCCAAGTCTCAATTAAATAGGCAATTAGATTTAGAAACTCTTAAGAAAACAAAGTTTGATCCAATTTGTCACGGACCAAGCACAGCAAAATTAAATTAACCCAAGATACCTTGAACTGTGGAACTATAGAATTTTATAGTTGATAAGCTTAGTCCCAGCAGTGGGTTTGGAAAGGTAGGAAAGGGTGCTGTGAATCTTTTTCCTAAGTATTAGAGTAACAGGCAATACATAATAAAGACATTTTCCTACTTTGCAAATTATTTCATACTTCTAAATTATTTAGTCCATGAGAAATTTCCATGCCTTTTGCTTAAAAATAATTAAATTGAATTATTCCATTCCTGTATACAGTAATATGAAAAGGATTATAATTTTTACTATTATAAACACAATGAATGAGCAAAATTATGCTTTTGGCTAATAAGATTGCAAATATGCCTTTTTTAGTCATCAACTGGTGAAAATAAATCAGCCTGAGCTAAATAAAATGCTAAGAGTACAATATAGAAAACATGTACCCTTGGGTGTGATTATTCTTGATAATTTGGCTACTGGTTTTTGAATACTGATAGAAGAGAATATTTGTAGCGGAGGGTTGAAATGTGGGGTCTTGGTGTTCTCTGAGCTTGGCTATTTTCTTGCAGACATTTCATTACCAAACTAGGGAACAACATCAGTGTTAGCACGGCCTTCTGAATAGAATGCTCATGGATATCTATGATTATTTGAAACAATTGGGCTTCCTCCTCCCAATTTTCTTAATTTTTTTTTGTTTAAGTGACAATTTAATACTTAAAAAAGCTTTCCTAACTTGATGCCTTTAGAAATTTTGGAGTTCAACAAAATCTCTAACTAACATGAACATCTCTCACACATCTGGAGGACATTGGAGTGAAGAAAGCTGACATACAGGGCGGGGCATAACCTTTTCCTAGGGGGTCGCAGCAAGATCGACAGCAGTTTACAACTTCCGCGACACCTCATTTTAAAGCCCATAAAAAACTGAATTGAATGAGCTATTAAATGTTAAATTTGCTTTAAGAATGGCTGGAAAATTCGATTCGGAAGAACAAAGGATCATTGACAGAATAAAATGCATTGCCTTTCGAGAGGCTCGCGAAAACGATGTCGAATTTTGGGGCAATGACGTCTGGCCGGGAAATTCGCCAGATCTCAATCCGGCAGAGAACATTGGGGCCATAATTAAGGATGAAGTGGAAGCTCTGATGATTCAGGAGCAAGGTCAAAATCGATATTCGGTTGAAACTTTGAGAATGAATTTGGAAACTGTGTTGAAAAATCTGGAAAATCGAACGGAACTGTTTGAAGATTTGTTGTGTTCTTATCCACCTCGTTTGAATGCTGTTCGAAGGGCTAATGGTGGTCATACTGACTATTAAATCGTGTCAATAAACTCAGTTTTTGATGGGCTTTCGAATGGTGTATGAATTATTTGTGTTGTTATTACAAGTGTTGCTGTGACCCCCTAGGAAAAGGTTATGCCCCGCCCTGTATTTAATTAATCCTCCTGATGAACTATAGTAATGTGATATCAGGGTATTCTTTTAGCTTACCCCCAAATCATACAATGGCAAAATAAAAATGTCAAATTTCAAAATAAAAACAAGAAACTCTGAAAAGTCTCACTAAATGATTATTTGCTAACTTAAAAATCTACTCAATGTTGAAGAAATCCTGGTTTGGTCAAGCAGATTCTGTCCTTAAACTAAATCTATTAAAAAAAATTCCTTCCATTTTGTATCCAAATATACCCAAAGAATATGAAGGCACTTACTTTCACTATATGGGAATAAATGCTAACATGCAAACTTTTGGAAGGGCTCAGCTGAAATCAGTATCTATGCACCTTTTGGATTTTACAGACTGCTGTATAGCCTTGAGCTATTTTCCTTCCAGATTGTTGGTAATTTCATAAATTCAATTCCCACATTCAATTTAACCAAGAGAGAAATCCTCTCATTTTAAATTCTTTGGTATAATTTTAATTGTCAACTGAAGAACTTTTATGTAAGAGAAGATATTCCATTTCTTCAGAGTTCATACAGGTTTTATCTCAAATGCGAGTTGCAGATAATATAAACAATCAAATTTTAAGATGTTCTTTTACAACAATTGTGATGTAATTAGTTAAATTGTTCTCACAAGCTATAATAAAGCTTATATGTTTGTATTTAGCTTTCCGCCCCTTTATCTTATGTCAGCTAGCTTTTGATCTCTTCAGATTCCACAAAAATCATTCTCACGCAGATAATGGGTAGAGTCAGCAGAAGACAGGAAGAGACACATACAGAAAGAAAAAATGGTTACAGAATTAAACTGAAAAACTACACATTCTCCTGCGTTGTTATGGCAAATGAGGCTTTGAGTGACTTAATTAAAGGCATTTGACATAATCCTAAAAGCCAGTTGGACTGCAAATGGCTTCCTACCATTGAAGAACCCAAAAGTAGCCTACCCCCTTTGAAGTGAGCAAAAACAAGTTCACAAAAGTGAAGTTAGATGAAAGACCATAACAAAGATGAACAGTTCATTGTAAGTGAAAAAATGGGTAAAAATTGATGTGGACCTTAATTTAAAATTACAATGGGATGAAAATTTTCTCAAATCGTGTGTGTGTTTGTGTGTGTGTGTGTGTGTGTGTTGGATTACTGCTCTAACAATCTCTAGCACAGTGGCCC